CGTATATAAAAGTACCATAGATAAGTTTAATATCAGTATTAAACTTATATGCCTTGAATGGCATAGCATCTAAATTCATAAAGGAAAAGCTAACCAACCTTCAAAAGACACAGATAGTAACAATAACTAGAATATATAATTGTTACTCTCAGAGCTGAATAAGTCTAACAAAAAATTTTAAAGGAGGAAAATGTAGAACTGAACACTGTTGGAAAATTTAAGATTTCCAAGACTTATGGCATCTTCTGAATGGAAGCATTAATGAATACACCTATTTCTCAGCATCACATGCTACCTTTATAAAGACAAACCATTTACCAGGACAGAGAAATTGTAAAAAAAAAAAAAAAGACAAAGAGACAGAAATAATGAACATGTTTTGTAGTCCATAACACAATTCAATATTTAACATAGGGAATACAAGCAAAAAGTACAGACCTAAAAGGAGAATAAGTTAAAACTTCCCGAATAATGAGTGGGATAAAGCACAAATCATAGAAACAATCAGGAACCATGTAAAAGAGAACGATAATACAATACTGCAAAATTTGGGGAATGAAGGTAAAGCAGTTCTCAGAAGTAAAGTTATATCATTAGAGTAATAAAGTTGTTTCACAGTTAACAAACTAGAAGAAGGGAGGAAGATTATTAAACTGAGCATGCAATTGAAAAACAAGAAAATAAAAACTAAAATAAGCCCCCCAAATCTGACAATTAGAGAAACTGATAAAATGGAAAACAAAAATTGTAGAAATGAATAATACTAAGAGCTGTTTTTTGAGAAGATGCACAAAAGCAATAAAGTTTTAGCTAACTGGATAAAAAAAAAAAGGAAAATCAAATTACCAAAGTGAAAAAGAAAAAAGATAAATTCACAACAGAAGAAATAAAAATTACCAGAAAGTGCTACAAAAAATAGGGATAGAAACTGGAGCTTTGATTTCATTCATAGGCAGCTATGTGGCACGGCGGATTAGAGTGCAGGACTTGGAGTCAAGAAGACGTGAGCTTCAATCCTGCCTCAGATACTCCTTAGCTGTGTGAGTCTTAGCAAATCAACTTAACCTTTCTGTGTGCCTCAGTTTTCTCATCTGTAAAATGGGGATAGCACCTACCTCACAGGATTGTTGTGAAGAGAAAAATTATTTAATAATATTTGTAAAGCAGTTTGTAAACCTTAAAGCTCTATATAAAGATAAGCTATTATTCATTGGTATGGGGAAATTAACAAGCCATAAATTAATTACCAAAGATGGGTGGAGGGGAGGGGGAGAAGAAACCCTGGTCCAAATGGATTAACAAGTGAATTCTACAAAATATTTAAAGACTAATTATGCTAAAATAGTCTTAAGAACTAAAAAATAAGTACTCTGCCAAACTTGTTTTATGAGACAAATATAGTACTAATGCCCAAATGATGGAAAGAGAGAGCTATAGATCATACTATATAACTAGTAAATTGTGATGTAAATATTTCAAATAAAACTCTAGGAAAAGTATTGTTGTTGTTCAGTCATTTCAGTAGTGTTCTACTCTCCGTGACCTCATTTGGGGTTTTCTTGGCAAAGATACTGGAGTGGCTTGCCATTTCCTTCTCCAATTCATTTGACAGATGAGGAAACTGATAAAAAAAAAAAAACAGGTTTAAGCAACTTGACCAGGGTCACACAGCTAAGTGTCTGAGATTGGATTTGAACTCAGGTCTTCCTGACTCCAGGTAAAGAGCAGGTAGGTGCTCTATTCACTGGACCACCTAGCTGCCCAGGAAAAATATTACAGAAAAAAAATTCAATATGACCCAGATGGATTCATATTAGGAATGCAAGGATGGCTCAACATTAAGAAAACAATTAGCATAGTAACGAACAACAAAAGGGCAGCTAGGTGGCGCAGTGGATAGAGCACCTACCTGCTCTTTACCTGGAGTCAGGAAGACCTAAGTTCAAATCCAGCCTCAGACACATAACACTTACTAGCTGTGTGACCCTGGGCAAGTCACTTAACCCCACTGCCTAGCAAAAAACAAAACAAAACAAAATAAAAGTAATAAACAACAAAAACTACCTGATTAAAACCCTTTGCTAAAATTTGGTTCTCATGTATCTACTTTTAATTTTCTTGATGCCTTTTATTTTATGTATGCATACATCAGTCATTCCTGGATATACTCCTCCACCACTCATACCACTTTATAACAAATTTTTTAAAAAGTTAAGCAAATCTGACAAATCAGACAGTACAGATAACTGTATTTAAGCTATTTACTTTTGATAGCTTAAAAGTGCATTAAGATTGTTGAGACATCCTACACAATACTGTACATCCACAGTCTCCCACTTCTTGTCTTTTTTTAAAGGAAGTTCCTATGGGGTATGAGACTAGATCTTGGGAAGTGATTCCTGTGTCAAAACAAAGTGCGTCAATAAATCATCTGAACAACATTAAGTCTAGCATATTGACACATGGGCATCAGTCACGGTTACTGAGCTCACTAAGATCATGAGGTTCAGTTCTCTGTGCTTCCACTCATGAAGATCCTAATCCAACAACCTCAAAGGGAGACTGGCTAACAAGTTAAGGTAGCACGGAAAGAGGGAAGGTTTCTGAGCTGGGACAACTGCATAATGGTGGTATAATCAATTGGAATGGATGAGTTAGGGAGTCAGTTTAGAGGGAAAAAACAGAGTTTGTTTTTGGGCATGTTGCAAGTTTGAAGGGACTTCCAAATTGGCAACCTCCCTGTAGATCAACATGCCTTTTATTCCAAATAAATGTTTATATTATGCAGAAGGGACAATGAACGTCATTACTCTGTCAATAAATTACTAGATTTGGATAGCAGTAACTCAAATTTCTATAGCACTCTGAAGGGAACTGCAGGAAGTACCCTATCCCCACAATGTCACACTAAGATATATTTGGGTTACTTTGGATCTTAAGCATAATAAAAGATTAAAAACAAAAAATCAAGCTTTTAAGGCAAATTCATCTTTTTCTTTTCCTCTGTGGACTCCTCCCTCCCCCAGAGAACAGCATGTAGTAAAAACAACCAAATTAAAAAAAAAACAAACAAATGACTGCACTTGACAGTTATGAGAAAAAGTCTAGAGTTGAACTGGGAAGAGTAGTAGAAGCATCAGGACAGCAGAAAGAAAATCACAGAATCCAGGGCCAGGAGGGGCTTCAGAGACCAGCTGGTCAAATATATACTTGATCAAGAATCCAATTTCAAACAAAACCAAGTTTCCAAAGGGATTTTCTAAGTATCTTGGATGTGTAGTTCTATACAAAGTTTTATTGTGTATGACCAAAAATGATGCAGTTGGAGCATGGAATTTGAATCAGAAGACTGAGAATTCAAATTCTGGCTGTGTTATTTCTGACTTAAGTGACTCTGGGTGAGTCCCTAGCCCTTCTTGGCCTTATTTCCCTCCTCTATAAAATGAGGATCCTATAAAGTCCCTTTCTAACTCTATATCCTAGGATCCTATGGATGCAAGACACAAACCAAAGAGAACTACAATGCTGCTGTTTTAACTGTATTTTGCACAGGAAGGGATAGGGAAGAGGCATGGAAATAGGGAAGGTAAATATCCAGTAGTTGTAACACATAACAATTATAGACCCAGGAAATTTGAGTCTAACTTATTGAATCTTGCTGACGTATTTGGTTGTAACTTTGTTAAGAAGTGGTACTATTCTTACAGAATAACTATGTTACTGTTAAAATAACGAATGTCCATCTGTAAAGTAGAGTGAACATATATACATACAGCTGTAACAAGGTTTTTTGACAAATAACCTATGTGCAGAAAAAACCTGCATCTTTTTTCTTCCAACGATTGTCTCTGCCAGAATGAAAGAGCTAGCATACAAAAGTATAACTGTCTGACCTAAGGCACTGTTCTCACCTCCAACAATTCCTCTGAACTCTGAACGGCAAAAGTCTAAAACATCCAGGAAGGATAAGTCCTCCTCCTCATTCGAGAATGAGTTTGAGAGAGGAACACAGTTCTGCCTCAAAAAGCTGGTGATTCAAAAAATTAATTAGCAGTTAGGCTGATTAATTCATACTCAAGTATCAGGCAATGGTTTAAGTAGGACTTGATGAAGCAATTTTCATAAACCACTTATCCACTGTGTGTGTGTGTGTGTGTGTGTGGTGAATATATGTATGTGTGTATGTATTACATGGGCTTAAGACTATTGGTGAATTTCTTCGCAGCTATTTCAAAGGAGGATTCATCCCTTCCTGCTATAGAAAGGCAGGAAAATTTTGGTTAAATAGCACTTACTGCAGCCTTTAATAGGTAAGGGAATATAGCACATACATAAGAAAAAAAAAAGATACTCTAAGACCATTGTGAATTAGCAAGCCAATGCTACAAGGCAATGGCCATGATACTGTTTTACATATGTGAAAATAACACTTATATGTCCGTAAAGACATAAATATGCAATTTGAAAGGAAAAAGTTAAAAAACCATGATAAATTGTAACCATGCTAGGACAAACACTTCTCCAGGCCTCATATTTCACAATGTAGTAGACAGAGTGAGTTGAGAGAGTGTGAATGTGAGTGTATGTGAGTGTGAGTGTGTGAGAGTGTGTGTGTGTGTGTGTGTGTGTGTGTGTGTGTGTGTGTGTGTACAGATTACAACTTAAAACTATTTTCCTGAAAGTAAAGGTATATAAATTATGGCAAAATACAATATGCAGAACTATGAAACCACCAAAATGTCAGCATTAAACACAATGTGACAATGCTCCTGAGAGCAGTCTTGGGTCATCCGAGAGATCTAGTAAGCTCTTTCCCAATATTGAATCTTTGAGAGTCTAACAGTAAAGGGATGAATGTTATTTAGGGGTTTTAAATAGGCTGGAAGCAAATTCTTTCCTTCTAAAGCACACTGTTTACCAGTCGGTTTGTAAGTCAGTTTGGATGCTTCCTCACCACTTTTCATATGTCACAGGAAAAATAAAACAAGCAACAAGCAAGAGACAGTTTAAATGAAATTATTAAAGGAAACAGAAATAACACTTTCCCAGGAAATCTTGTCACATTGTAACAAAGAAGGACCTAGACAACTCCCCAAAAGTACTCAAGGTGCAGGTGGAGAAGCATCCCCTTCTCTTGGGAGTTTGATTTTAATATAGTTGAACTGGGGTAAAGGTAAGAAGCAGCTTCCTGAAGAAAGATCTTTACATGGAATCCGGTGACTTCCAGGATTGGAGTGTTTAGAGATCTGGCCAAAGAGAAAACAATGAGAGGAAAGACTGAGTACAGAGGATTCCAGTTACATGGCATCTTGCTCACCGCTTAGCTCTTTGTCACTTCAGTACTACAAAACCCCCTTCTCCTCGTCCTCATCCTTTGCAACCCCCTCCCCCCAGCCTCTTTGATGCCAAAGCAATAATACCCCCAAGAAAGGAAATCAAAATTACTCTGGGGAGGGCAAACAGGATGTTGAGGGCACCAGGGACCATGCCACCCAAACTGGGTCAGCTGAAGAAAGTAGGGACGTTTAGCCTGGGGGAAGAGTAGACTTAAGAGGGACAGGAGGGATGTTTTAGGTACTTGAAAGATTTTCAACTGGAGAAAGGTGAAAATTTCTTCTTGGCCCCAGAGAGTAGATTGCAAACAACAGATGGGAAGTTTTACTTTGACATAAGAAACTCCTAACAATTAAAAGTGTCCAAAAATAAAATGGGACACTTTTGTGGGTACTGAGTTTCCTATCACTGGAGGCATTCAGGGTGGACAGAGATCAGGGCCTGAAGTCAGAAGACATGAGTTCAAACCTGACCTCAGACACTTAAAAGATGTATTACCCTGGGTGAATCACCTAACCTCAGCTTGCCTCAGTTTCCTCATCTGTAAAATGGAGATAATAGCACTTACCCTCCAAGGTTGTGAGGATTAAATGAGATACAGTGCCTAGCACGTGGTAGGTATTTAAAATGCTTGTTTCCTTCATCCCTTCAAGCAGAAGTGGGATGATGTCGTGTTGGGGATATTACCTTAGGGAACAGGGGCAGACCTGTGATGTCATTGGTATTGGGAATTCCTAGATGAGACTCCTCCTACCATATTGTCTGCAACTTCTAATCCTAGAGAGCTGCCTGGAAAATCAAGACATTAAGTAAATTGACAAGGGGACCCACAGCCAGTGGAAGTCAGGGATGGCACTTGAACCTAGGTCTTCCTGGCTCTGAGGCTGGCTCTCTTTCCACTATACCATATTGCCTCCCTATTAGGATACTGTCAAAAGGATTAATGCACCCAGCGGGGGATGGACTGTATGAGCCCTCAGGTTACTTCTAACACTAAGATGTGCTAAGACTAGAATTTTTCAGATATTCACTTTTTATTGGCCTAAATGAATATATTAAGATTCATTGGGTACACAGCCCCATTAATAGCTCCAATAAAGAAGCCTTCTTGAAAGACTAAATGATAATAGTCAACCTGGTGTAAAAGTCCTCCCTTTTTATTTGAGTATTGGCAGCCCATAAAAGGCCTCATGATTACAGTGCTGGTGCAGCCCAGGTACTGAGTACAAAGAACCTTGTTACAGGGCTCCTCCTCTTCCTTAGAAGGCGAGGGGCAGGGGTTCTTAATCTTTTTGTGTGTCAAAGGGCCCTTTGGCAGTCAGTCTGGTGAAGCCAATGGACCCCTTTTCAGAATCAGGTTCTCAACTAACTGAAGGAAATGCCAAATTTCAGTTAGAGTTTAGTGAAAATAAGGATAATATTTTCCCTATCCCTATCCAAGTTCATGAATCCCCTGAAATCTGTTCTTGGACCCTTCTAAGTCCATGGGCCACAGGTTAGAAACCCCTGCTTTAAAGGTCTATTGGGGGGCAGTTAGGTGGCACAGTGGATAGAGTACCAGTTCTGGAGTCGGGAGGCCCCGAGTTCAAATCCGGCCTCAGACACTAGACACTTACTAGCTGTGTGACCCTGAGCAAGTCACTTAACTCTAACTGCTAAAAGAAAGAAAGAAAGAAAGAAAGAAAGAAAGAAAGAAAGAAAGAAAGAAAGAAAGAAAGAAAGAAAGAAAGAAAGAAAGAGAGAAAGAAAGAAAGAAAGAAAGAAGGAAAGAAAGAAGGAAGAAAAAAAGAAAGAAAGAAGGAAAGAAAGAAAGAAAGAGGTCTATTAGGAACTAATGACGCTTGTTACCCATGGCAGCCTTCCCTTATATAAATATACCACCTATAATATTGCCACAACTTTTCACAGCTTTTTAAGCCCCACCATAGCACTGCTATCTATCATTTGACTGACCGCATACTTCAAACATTCAACCTCTGTGACTGAACTATTACCTTGTTCTTCCTAATTTTGGGTCTTCTAAACACCAATTGTGGGATACATTTATAATAGGATTTCACTCTACTGTGAATGGTGCTATGTACAGTCAGGATCTGGTATATTTGTTTTTAAAATACAATTGCTATTTTTCTCATGATTGGGAGGTGTTCAAGCAGAAGGTAGCTGATATCCAGCCTGCTGGTGATGCTTATGGAAGACTCTTCTGACAGTTATTAAAGGGCTACAAGGCACAGGTTGAAAATGGGGCCAAGGAGTTGCTAAGAGTGTACCTGGGTAGGGAAGGAAGGGGAGAAGCACCAAAATATACAGAGTGAACAATCCCCTTTAAAAAAAAATAGCATCACTGCTATTCCAACAAGCACCAGGAACTTGTGTTTTAACAAGAACATTTAATAAGACACCGGAAGGAAAGTTTCTATTGTTGATGGAGCCTCCTCTAGGAGGCGATGGGCCATGAGGGCCTCAATCTCCTATTCCACTGTGTACAAACTTACAAGTAAGAGCCCAAACGCTTTCCAAAGACCAAGCAAATTAATTTTCTATTACCCTTGTTTTCTTTCAGCAAAGAGAAGGCTCCTTGGTTCTGTTTGTTAAAAAGCCTTTCTTCTGAACTTCAATTTCTTAACTATACATTCAGAGAGGTGTTGCTTAAAGAGGATACCTCAAAGGCATATTTTAACCATGATTCTTTTGCATTGTGTATTTTAATGTTTAACAAATGTTTTCAGTCTATTTATAGAAGAGAAATCAAGATATTTCCACAAACCCCTAGGAATAATGACCTGAATGAATTAAAGCAATCACTTCACAATCATTGTTCTGTGCTCATTTACAATGTGGAGGCCAGCTGGGGTGGAAAGAGCACTGACAGAAGCCAGAGTCCTAGGTTCTATTCCCAGCTCTGCCACTCATTTCCCGTGGGACCTTTGGCAAATAACTTAAACTCTCTGGACCTCAGTTTCCTCATCTGTGAAATGGGGACAACAATCACTATCTCACAGAGTTGTTGTGGGAACCAAATGAGACAATGTATGTAAAAGTGCTCTACTTCAAAGATCATTGATTGATTCATCATTCTACTGATGGAGATCACTGTCTCGCCACAACTTGGCACATTTCCTTTGGAAGTTATTGTGGCTGAAGAGACGATCACTCTGTGACAAATCTGGTTATCAGCCTCTCTCTGATCTTAGCTGGACTGGTCCTTGGAAAGACAGATGCTAAGTACATTACAAGGGCCATTCTTGATGCCTCCCCAGCTTGGTAGGCCCTGTGAGAGCTTGTGCTCCATAGGCATAGTCTTTGACAACCCGGGGTTCCCCTGACACCAGGACTGAGGCACCAAAGGACAACTTTTGTGAAGGTGACCCAATACAAACCTAAGCTATCATCATCATTAAAACACAAAGCGAGCAATTACACTTGAAAGAAGCAACTGACTTATAAAAAGTCATCCCTATAAAAAGAAGCCTCTGTATTACCTGAATTGCTTCCTTCGGATGTGGCCAAGGAATTCATCACTGTATCCTCCTCGAAGGCTAACTCGGGACCTGGAGCAAATGTAACAGCTTTACTTGAGTTCTGAGTGCAACTTTCGGAAGGAGCGTTGCTGACATTCGATTTGGCATGAACTCCAACTTCAATCAAATCCTCGAAAGTCCATGTGCTAGATTTTCCATTCAGGTTTGAGGTGTGCTCAGCTTCATCGGTATCCATAATTTCTGAGTTTGGAGTAATCATGTCTTTGGCAGAAAGGCTAGAGAAAGATATTTTAATTAAATGCCTTGCCTAGTCAAATATCAATATTTTCTTTGGAAAAAAATTTGCCCTCTGATTAACTTTCATTAAGCACTCCCAACATGACAATATAAAAATATGAATGTATGGTGTGATTATAGATGGTCCTCTACTGACAAATAGCAGAAACAATGCAACAGATTATTCCCATAAATATTATAGAGGGGAAGGTTGATTTCCAGGCCAATACCCAAATGTCCTTTTAACCCATAATGAAACTGGACCCATGGTTTCTATAGTAAAAAGCATCCTAGAATTTAATTAGGGATGCCAGAAAGAGATCTCTCCCTTGCCAAAGTCCTAACACTGACTTGTATGAGGACTCTAAGGGTTGTGGCAGGGAAATGGGGTGGGAATGAGGACAAACTCCAGCTTGTCAAAGGAATGGGGATGGAGGAAGAGGGGACAAGGGTTGTGGCTGGGCCTGCAGAGCTCCAACGACTTCTGTAGTGAAGGAAACAGGCAGAGATTTCTGTGGTGTGTGGAAATCTCTCAATAACTGGTTCCAGGCGAGGTTGTGCCAGGGGTGGAGCATGAAGGTTCTGGGGCTATGAGGACTATCGATTCCAATTCCCACAGCCTCAGTGGGCGTTCACTAAGTCTGGTGGAGGGATAAGTAGACTACTGCCTGTTTCATCTGTCTAGAGTAACAGGCATGTAATTGTATGCTACTGAACAACTGTTAATTAGATATTCTTAAATCAGAGTGATCAGAGCAAACTAACTAGTCTAACTCTAACTACAGACAGGAAAAAATGTTTTACAACAAACGATCAGTTTATACATTGTCAAGGCGACTTTAACAGCTATGCTAGACTCTGGCAATCTAAGGCAGAGAGAGAGAGTATTTCCCTCTCACTAAGGAGAACAGGAAGCAAAGGGAAGTTATGCTTTCCCTGTTTCTGAAAGGCAGGAAAAGAAGTGAAGACTCTATCCCAAACAGAAACTTCCACAGAAGGATATTTGAGCAAAGAATTGCTCAAAATCCAGAGCTTTCAGAACTATGTCTTCAGAGAACTGCAAAGTATTGTTGCTGTGAACTCTCAGCCATTCCCACTGTCTTTGCAGCAAACTCCTGATAAGCACCACTTGCTTTACCACTGTCAAATGTCTCCCCTGCCCCGCTTTTTAAAAATAATTCAAAGAAGTGAATTAATTAATAATTACACGGAAAGCATCTCATCCCATCTCCCCAAAAAGCTGTATTTTATAAAAGTGACTAACCCAGAGTGTGTTGCCAGAGTCATAGGCAAACAATCTCTATTTTCTGGCTCTCTGGCCATCTCATCACCATTGGTGACGAGTCCTTCAGTCTCATCTTCGGCTGCAGCTTTAGCTTGTTCTGTGTAAGCCAGTGTGGGAAACGTCTCAGCACTAAGCCCTTCTGGGGTCTTGACATTCTCAGGTGACCTAGAGTCTGTTGCCAGAGTCACAGGCAAACAATCTCTATTTTCTGGCTCTCTGGCCATCTCATCAGCATTGGTGACGAGTCCTTCAGTCTCATCTTGGGCTGCAGCTTTAGCTTGTTCCGTGTAAGCCAGTGTGGGAAACGTCTCAGCACTAAGCCCTTCTGGGGTCTTGACATTCTCAGGTGACCTAGAGTCTGTTGCCAGAGTCATAGGCAAACAATCTCTATTTTCTGGCTCTCTGGCCATCTCATCACCATTGGTGATGAGTCCTTCAGTCTCATCTTGGGCTGCAGCTTTAGCTTGTTCTGTGTAAGCCAGTGTGGGAAAGGTCTCAGCACTAAGTCCTTCTGGGGTCTTGACATTCTCAGGTGACCTAGAGTCTGTTGCCAGAGTCACAGGCAAACAACCTCTATTTTCTGGCTCTCTGGCCATCTCATCAGCATTGGTGACGAGTCCTTCAGTCTCATCTTGGGCTGCAGCTTTAGCTTGTTCTGTGTAAGCCAGTGTGGGAATCGTCTCAGCACTAAGCCCTTCTGGGGTCTTGACATTCTCAGGGGAGTCAATCTCAGTGACATTGGCTGTGAAGAAAAAAAAAGATGAACAGCATAACCAGCTGAGTTTCAAGATCAACTATAATAAAACACTATGGATCTATCCAATATCTTATGAGATGAGAGGTAAAATAAGGAAGCTGGAGCTATGCTTAGGGGCGACAGTACTGCCTCAGGGCAGGCCTGTCATCAAATATTGATGTAACCTCTCTAGGTATGTGGCAGTACACTGGGCAGAAGAGGGTTACTATGAACTGCTCTCAAGAACTGAAATGTGATGGGGTGCCAATTATAATCATTGTCTTTCTGATCCCACCTCCCAAAACATGCCTCTGACAGACCTGTCCATTTCCTCCCTTCTGCACAGAATGTGGGAAAAGACTGAATTCGACTATATCCCTTTATACCAAGGGCTCCTAACGTGGGGCCCACAGACACCCAAGGCATTTGTAGATTTCAAGGGATCCATCAATTTCAGGGGCAAAAATTGAATCTTTTCACTAACCTCTGAATGAAATCTCACATTTCTTGTGGTTGTAAATTTTTAATGAACCATAATTCTGAAAAGGGCTTTACTAGACTGCTAAAGGGATCCAGATTCAGGACAGAGAAGGCAAAGAACTCCTGCTTTTTTTCATGAGATCTCAGACCCTGAATACTTCCGTGGTGAACTGGTTTGGGATCACAGAGAAAGAACATGAAAAGGGGCCAGTCTCTATATAACAACTCCCTTTGTCCTCTGGGTAGGATGTACTCAGTTTGCCAAACCTACATACAAAGATTAATTTCATGTCCTAACCCTAAGCTGCATGAGAAGTTTTATATGATAAAATCCTACAAAGTAAAAACATATACAGTAAAATCCTACGAACTTGCTCTAACTTACAAAATCACTTCAAACTCAGTGAGCTTCAGTTTCTTCATCTGTAAAATGGGAGATAATGATACCTCTGCTACCAACTACCTCATAGGACTTTTGCAGGAGAAAGTGCTTTGCAATCCTTAAAGCACTTTACAAACAGGAGGTGGGATTCCTATGATTACAGTCATTCCCCAGCATCCTAAAGGATTACTACAGGAGCTAACTGGTAAATGGAGGCATACCCAGTGGGTCCACTGTTTCCAAATTTCCTCCATCTACTTCATCAGCAGCATCCCCGTCAATAGCCTCATTCTTAGACTTTTCTTCACTCTGTAACCAAGCAACACAACACTGGGCTCAGGAACTCTTTGCTATTAAACCATCTCTGTTACTTCAGTATTCACTTTTATAAGGTAATTGAGTAGTTTCTTCATTTAGATTAAAGGCTAATCACCTATGACTTGAAGGCAGGATGTGGCATTTAATGAGTCCCAAGAGAGCAGGCATGATGGTAGTGGCTGGATTGCAGGGGTAGTTTCAGTCTGGACAAGCAACCCTGGAATTTCGGGTTCAGTCACAAGTAGCGGGAATAACCCGGTAAAGTGATGTATATTGAGACACTGGCCAGGTGATTTTTCCATGACAAAAGGGAAGATGCCTCTGTCCTAAAGAAAAACACCTGGTACTCAGTTTCTCTGGGAGGCAGTGCTTACTGCCTGCAATTACACAAGGGCATTGTTTTTCAGAAACAGGCCAGGGCAATGAATCAGAAACAGGAAAGATATAGGAAAATATATACAAACTTTCACACATCACAAAAAGAGACTTCCAAGTAAGAGCAGGCAATTCTGAAGGACACTGCAAGGCTCTGTCACTTCATAACGTGGCACCCTTATATCACAACTTCATTCATTCAGAGGGCCAGCATGATGCAGTGGAAAGAAATGCCACAGAGTCAAGAGGCCGAGATGTGACTCTCAGCTTTGGGACGTTGGGCAAGTCATTTCTCTGAGCCTCAGTTTCCTCACCTGCAAGATGGTGATGATGAGATGAGAGGATTTAGAACTCAATTCCAAGCCAGATCATCTGACTCCAAAGCCAGTGCCCTTTCCAAACTACAATACCTTAGAGGCAAGTTTTATCATTTCACTTATATTTAAGGAGAATATGTCTGAATGCAGAATTTAACAAAACCTTTTTTAAGTGAGCACCTGTGTGGTGTAATAGATAGAGAACTTAACCCCAGAGGCAGGAAGACCTGGGTTCAAATCTCCCCCCCCTTGGATACATCTTGGCCATGTCACCATGCTCTAGGTCAGAGACAGAACCCCGGCAGGCAGAACCAGATTAAAACGTAACTAAACAGTTACCAAAATAAATAGAAATACAAATTGTGGTTTTCTAAGTTAACATATGGTACACAGGGATCGTGCTGTTCAGTTCAGCTGCCCCTTTTCTATTTGAGTCTGACTCCACTGCTCTAGGCAGCACTCTAAGGTGCCAACCTATAATGGTAGGGGGAATTCTGGGTAGCCAAGAATTCTCTAGTCCAGTGAAACCACAGGTCCAACCCCTATCCTATTCCCCTAAGCATAGTGTAACAACTTCATTCACCTTACTACAAAATTTAGCCTCTGATTTTTAAAAAAGAGCATGAAATTATCAAGTTTGCAGCGAGAATTCTAGCACTTAACAAGCTGAGATTAAAGAAAAGATATCTTGATTTCACTTGCTTTCTGGGAGGGCTAGAAGGTCCCCTCCTCTTTCAGTCCTTTGTCCCTGTAGAATAAAAACTGTCCTGATCCAAACTGGGTTAGGCACAAGGATGATCAAAAGAGAAGGCAAGTAAAGCAGGGAGAGATTCCACAGCTGTTTTAATGTTTCAGATCTCCTTTGGGAAGAAAAGCTGATGAGTAAAAATGAATTCCTAAATATGACCAAAGCAGTCAGCCTCACTCTGATTATTCAGAGACCCTGAACCTCCAATGTTAAATGAGTAGGATCATAATTGCAGACTGCAAACTTCACAGTGCCAATATTACTACGTACTTTCCCTCAACTACCTGGTACAATAACTGGTAGTAAAACCACTGTCCTCATTTCATAAGCAAGGAAATTGAGGCTCAGAGAAGTGAAAGAACTTGCCTTCAATCACACAGCAAGAATTGTGGGAGTTAGGATTCAAAAGGCTTTGTAAGCCTTCAGTCAATAAGCACTTATTCAGTGCTTACTAGGTGCCAGCTATGTCCTAAGCACTGGTCATACAAAGAAAGGCAAAAGTAGGGTCCCTGCGCTCAAGGAGCTCATATTCTGATGGGGGAAACAACATACACACACCTGTTCAAACAAGAGAAAGAGCATAAATGAAAAGTCATCTGAGGGGAAACGTCACTTGGAACAGGGAAAACTGAAAAAGTTCTTCAGAAGATGGGATTCGAGCCCAGTTCTGAAGGAAGCCAGAAGAATACGTAAGCAGAGGTAAGGGGGGAGAACATTCTGGGCATGGGAACGCAGCCTGGAAAATGGCACAGTGTTAGAAGGTGGAGTTTCATTTCTAAGAAACAGCAAGGGGGCCAGTGTCATTGGAACATAAAGTACATAAAGCATGAGGAGACTGGAAAGGTAGAAAGGATCCAATGGGAGATCTGGGAGTTCTGCCTGGAATTTATTAAGCAGGGGAGGTAACGTAGTCAGACCTGTGCTTTAGGGAGATCACTCTGGCACCCAATAGCAGGATAAGCTAGAATGGGGAGGGACTTGAGGCAGGCAGTCCCACTGGCAATAGTCCAAGTGAGAGGTGATGAGGGCCTGCACCAGGGTAGGGGCAGTGGCATAAGAGAAGAGAGACAGTATTCCAGACATGTTGTGAAGGTAGAAAACAAGACTAGGGACAGATTGGATACATGAGGTAAGCCATGACACTGAGGAAGCAGACCTGGGTGACTGGGAAGTTAGGTGTACCCTCAACAGTAATAGAAAAGTTAAGAAGAGGGAAGGGTTTGGGAGGAAACATAATGGATGATAAATTTTAAGGTGTTATATAAGCGTGAGTTAACATTAATCGATTTATTGGACTGAATAACATTTGTCCAGGTTACAATTCATCAGCATTTCTACCAGAGTTATATAAGCACATTTTCAATCTGCTATTCGTAAGCAGTACTGATACAATTTTCATATGGCAAGACAGCTAAAACTCTAAGGCTGGAGTTCTTCAGTGGGCATCAATGACCTTTTTTTTTTTTTAGTATTTTGCTAACTGAATTTCAACATCATTGGTTTCCTTTTGAACTTTATACATTTGTAAACACGATTCTGAGAAGGGGCCCATCAGTAGGCATCGCCAGCCAAAGGGACCCAGGACCCAAGAAAGGTTCAGATGCCCTGATCAAGGGTCCTCGTGGGGTTCCTTTTCCCCAGGCTTCCTCATTTCAATGCAGTTTAATTCAACGAGCATTTAGTGAGCACTTATTAGATGCCAGGCATTGGAAATATAGAGACAAAATTAAAACGTTCTCTGTCCACAAGAAGTTTATATCCTACTGGGGACAAGCAACATGCACACAGATAAGAAAATGTCAAACAAATACAAAATGATTTTTGGGAGGAGGGAAGTGGCAACCCTCACCACTTGGAGAAGCTGGAAAATTCTCTTGTAGGTGGTGGCCAAGGTGAGGAGGGAAAGAATTTGAGGTATGTGGGACAAGCAGCCCAAAGATGGGAGACAGAGGTCGTGTATGGGACATAACAAGTAGGTCAAGTTCACCTGAATATGGAACATGTGAATGTGTAATCTGACCCAGCTGATTGAGAGATAAGAAGATAAACATCAACAGGAACAGCCCCACCCCCTCAAAGAGGCTTACCTGCTCAGAATTCAGTTCAACCTTTCTGGTTCTTCTCATAATTTCCTCAATTCTCTATTAGGAGAAAAAAATATAACTATACATCTCTAAAACAGAACTATAAAACAGCTATAAAAATAAATTGGTAGAACTGAAACAGGAGGTTGTTAAATTTATCATCTTTGGCAAGCTGTTTCCTCGTCCTGTTTCATTGTCCTCTTCTGTCAAATTGATACAAATGACCTAAGAAGCTGGGACCCTAATTTCCTTCCTTACTGTTCTGATTATATAGCACTCTGAATGCCAATTGCCTCGTTTCTCATTTTAATTTAGCAAACCAAATGATAATTTTCACATATAGTTTTTGCAGAACAGAAAGATCATTATTTAGCATAAGTAAAGATTATTGCCAATAAATAAGAATTGACGTTTTTGAAGTAATCTCAAATTATCTTACCAGCTAAGACACGCATATTAACAACAGTAGCTAATATTTTATATAGGGTGTATCAAAAATTTTAGTGCAGTTGTAAGCTTACATAGCTTACAACTATACTAAGACCTTTGGGACACCCTGGATAGTGCTTCTAAGTTTGCAAAGCATTTCAGGTATACTATCTCATTTGATTGATTTTCACAACCACCATTATTATCCCCATTTTAGAGATAAGGAAACTAAGGCTGAAAGAGGTTGAGTGACTTGTTTGGGTCACACAGCTACAAAGTGTCTGAGGCAAGACTCGAACTCATATCTCTTTGATTCTAATTCTGGCACCTAACTACCTCTTTAAATTTAGAGTACGTGCTCCTGTGTCACGCACTGTGTGTAAGAAACTTTGCTAACAGACGGAGAAATCATAAAGGAAATCTAGGAATGCATTTTAGGACTTGGATTCTCTTGGCATGACACAGCCTCCTTCCCCTCCAAGATAAGGTTGACTGTGGCCCCCTACTTTCTCAGCCTGCTCAGGGCACTCAGGACACAGAGTCCAGGGATAACTGTCCTCATCCTCAGGTGACCAAACCTTGCAACCCCTTGGAATGTAGGGCCCAAGACCTGGCCTGCCCATAAGAAGCTCATACCTAAGCCAATACCATTGCTTTCTCCTCAGCTGTTATCAAAACTGCCCTTGTGTCAAGGTGCTAAGTTTCCTCAATTCTTTCCATGGCCAAGGCCCTTTTTAAGAAAAAAAAAAGAAGCTTTATTTCCAGAGGATTCTATTACTGGAGGTACCACTATAACGACTCCTCCCTCCCCAACGGCACAGACAGCTACCAATATTCCACCAAGTACAGAGGAGGAAGGGAAGAGAAGAGCATTTTCTCCCATGAAGGGCCATCCAAGGCCCCTGTCAAGAAGGTGGGAAGAGAGGGGCAGCTAGGTGGCACAGTGGACAGAGCAATGACCCTGGAGTCAGGAGGATCTGAGTTCAAATCTGGCCTCAGAGACTTGACACTAGCTGTGTGACCCTGGGCAAGTCACCTAATGTCATTGCCTAGCCAAAAAAAAGAAGGTGGGAAGAACAGGGACACGGCATTTGCCTGCTGGCCCCAGCAATGATTGTTCTACCAAAACACTTTGCCCCAACACCTGACTGACCTTTTTCCTCTCCAGACGTTCTTGAATACTCTGCTCCATGATCCTTTCCCGCTCCCGCCTCTGCCTTTCAGCTTCTTCCTGGGGCTTTGGCCTCAGCTTCCTCCTTCTATAATAAGTAGGAAAACAGCATCAAGGACACACCACTCAGTTTCAAGAATTCTAAATGCAGTAGAAGAAGAGCTCTGGAATCCAGTCACTCAATGAATTTGGTGACAACAGGACTACTGTACAAGAGCATTAAGTGGGCCCTCAAGAGCATGACATTTGATAAAACAATGCCACAGAGTGCAGCTGGTTCCACAGGAACAATGTAGATCCATCATACGCAATATGTCAGCTGTAAGCAAATTGACACTTGGGGAAGCTAATGCTGCTGGAACAAAAGCCCAAGTCGTATTGTCAGCCATCAAATTAGTACTCTGGGTGAGAAGTCAAATGACACTACATTGGGTCATGATGCATTAATGATATTACAGCAAGATGACACTGGCTGGGGCACTGTTGGGCAGAGCATGCTTGAGTACCACACACAGATCAAGATCACCAATTCTATAAAACATGAGGGTACAATAAAATATGACTAACGCTAAAATGATACTACCGAATAGAATTTCATCTTTATCTGAGACTCCAGATGGTACCTCAGGCACTTGTAGGGTACTAGGGTCATCATTAAGAACATCAGTCATCACAGCACTGTAAGTGTGGAGTGATAGGAAAGTTTGGGTTACTAGAACTCTGAATGAATCAACTTTTATTGTAATTGTATGGTAAAACTGAAAATCTTTCTTATTACACCAATATAGCAGTTTTTATGGAAAATCTGAGCCCTCCACTAATATGCTAAATCAGAGCCAAAATTCCTAAATCTCCCAGTAGTGCTTAAAAGGTTCTCAGTGCGAATGTCATTTCTACAATACAGCTAATTCCATTTTGCAAGGCTTAAGACTAAGAAGAGAGAAGTATGAAGTGGATTGTTGGGAATAAAAATCCCTGAGAGACCAGTGCCAGACAAGGGAATTAGGCTGACCCATTACAAGTTCATAATGTTTATGCTCCATTCCAGCCAAACTAGAATATTCCCTGTTCCCTAAATATGGCCTGTAATTCCTTGCTTTTGGGTCTTTGCTCATGCTAAGCCACAGATGAGAACTGCCTTCCTTGTTCTGGGCAATGCTCATCTCCACCTCTTTCCCTATTATGATCACACCTTCTCTTCTAAGCTTCAGGTTGAAGGCCACCTCGTGCCCATCATGATCACCTGGCACTCTACCCTCCTTTTAGACACATCTCATATTTATCTGTGGGTGCATCTTATAGCCTGGCTGCTTGTTTGTAAGCTCAAGAGTAAGTGGGAGTAACTTTATTATCTCTCCTTTTCTCCTGGTGCTCAGAACAATGCAATTGATTGTACATACGTATTTGCTGAAGGAATTTCAACTAGACCTTTGCCACTGGCTTTGTACTCTAAGCTATGAGCCAAAGATTTGGAAATGTTCTTTTCCTCTTTATTTAAACCCCCACTCTTTCATCTTTGTCCCATCTCTGCTTTCAAGAGGATCTTATCTCTCATTTAACTGAAATGGACATGCTGCCTCAGTGATCTTCCCAATTCCAATCTTGTTCAACCTTTAAAGCCACCTCCTCCAGTCTTCTCCTACCAGTCCAGATCATAACGTTCACTTCTCTGACCTTCAGCGCTTATACTTTATCCCACACATTTTGGTTCTCTATTACACATTGTCTTGTATTCTTCTCTAATTGTTTAAGTGTCTTGTCTATCCAACAAGATTATGAGCTCAAGGAAAGAGGCTATTTCCTTCCTTCTTTCAACAAATGATTACTTCTTGATAAAACTGTCTTCACAAGCACTTAATTTCATGGGCCTGAGACAGTAACTATTATAACTAAAAAATACTTGGAAAACAGTTGATTTCAGTTTTCTCTTTTAGTCTGGTGCTCAGATCAGGTCACAGACACAACCTGTGTGAGATAACTTCCAAATAGTGCTTAATTTTTAAGGTTCCTGGGTAATGAAAGTATAAAAAAATCTAAGCATAGAATTCATTGAACATACAAGAAGACAGAGTACTAGGTAAGACATGCGCTACACAGAGCAGACATCAGGATTATTAGTGAGCACACAGGACTACTGCTATTTGCTAGGCAGAGAGCTTAGCACACCTGCTGCTGGAGTTCAGCCAGACGCTCCTGCTCTTGGGCCCTGCTCTCGTCTATCTTCCGCTGCTGTTCTTCCAGCGACCTTGTTGCCTCAAGTTGACAGAACTCAGCTTGCCTTTTTTCCTCGTCTTCAATGGCTTTCTTCTCAATATGCTCATTTATTTCCTAATTACAGAAGCAGAAAATTTACAGATTCACTAATCTTGAAATGGATTTTGTTGGTATTTCCTTTTCCTAAAATATGGCTCCAGAAGTGTTTTTTAAAAACACAGCCAAAAGCCTCATTACAGGATCACCCTCTACTTTCGCACTTTCCTGTAATTTACATTAGTGTCACTAACACTCTTCCCTCCCTCCACTGCCCCACCAACCCTTTTACATCACTGGAGTAGATGTCAAAAGAACTGATGTGAATCTAGGCCTTGCCATAAACTAACTCTGTGACCTTGAAAAAGGCCTCATAAGGAAAATGCCTTCATCTGCTGACCAGGGATGACAGCATTTATACTAACAGGGTAGTTGAGAGAAGTACATGAGAATATATGTGAAAATACTAATAAATAAAATTTGTGCTTGTGCCTATATTTGCTACACAAAAGAGTTCGATTGTGGAAGAAGAGGTAATAAAGGACTGAGATTTTTTTTTGATTGCACACTACTCCCATTTTTTTTTCTTCAGGGAAACTGGTTTAGAAGAGAAGATTGATTCTTATACAAATATCTAATAATAACCGATTTTGCTATGTTGTTGTTGAGTCATTGCAATCACGCCGAACTCTCTGTGACCCCATTTGGGTTTTTCCCACACAAGGATACTGAAGCCATTTCCTTCTCCAACTCATTTTCCAGACGAGGAAACTGAGGCAAACATAGATAAGGGACTTGCCCAGGGTCACACAGCTATTAAGTGTCTAAGGCTGAATTTGAATTCAGGTCCTCCTAACTCCAGAGCCGGTGCTCTAACCACTGAGCCACCTAACTGCCTCTGCATAGTGTGTTAAAATTTACGAAGCACTTTACATAAAGTATCTCACTTGAGCCCCATAACAACCCTATGAGGTAGGTGCTACAGTTTTTATCACTACTGTGCAGAAGAGGCAACTAAGGCTCAGAAAGGTTAAGTGACTTGCCTATGGTCACACAGCTAACAAGTGGACTCAGATCTTCTTCTGTCTATTGTATTCTGGGCTTCCTCTCAAATTTTACCGTCCACTAATTTAAATGATAAACAGTTCTAAACAATGTTATGCATATTCTCATCTGTGTGCCTTTGCTTATGAAGATGCCCTTCCCTTCATCCTTCTTACCTAGCTTTCCAAATCTCACTCAATTTCTTACTCCACTCAGAAGGTATTAATTATTCTCTACAGTTCCCACAATCATACCACACAATGTAACACAATCATACTCTCCTGTATAGTCTAGTAACTGTTCTTGTAAATCATCAGGCCTAGGAGCCAGTATAATAAAAATGACAATTCTACCTAAATCAATTTACTTATTCAGTGCTATACCAATCAAACTACCAAAAATTATTTTACAGAGCTAGAAAAAATAATAACAAAATTCATCTGGAAGAACAAAAGGCCAAAGAATATCAATGAAAAAAAAATTTGAAGGAACATGGTCTAGCCATAAAAGATCTCAAACTGTATTATAAAGTAGTAATCATCAAAATTATCTGGAATTGGCTAAGAGATAAAGTGTTGGATCAGTGGAATAGAGTAGAAATATAAGACACAATAGTCAATGACTACAGTAATCTAGTGTTCAATAAACCCAAGGGCTCAAGCTTTGGGGGCAAGAACTCACTAATTTGACAAAAACTGCTGAGAAAACTGGAAAACCGTCTAGCAGAACCTAGGTATAGGCCAACATCTTACACCATATACCAAGATACGGTCAAAATGGGTACATGATTTAGACATAAAGGGTGATACCATAAGCAAATTAGAAGAGCAAGGAATAGTTTACCTGTCAGATCTATGCAGAAGGAAAGAATTTATGATCAAACAAGAGATAGAGAGCACAAGACATAAAATGGATAATTTTGATTATATTTAATTTAAAAGGTTTTGCACAAACAAAACCAAAGCAAGCAAGATTAGAAAGGAAAGCAGAGAGCTAGAAAACAATTTTTACATCAAGTGTCTCTGATAAAAGCCTCATTTCTCAGTTATATAGAGAACTGAGTCAAATTTATAAGGATACAATTCATTCCTCAATTGACAAATGGTCAAAGGATATGAATATAGGCAGCTTTTAGATGAAGAAATCAAAGCTATCTATAGTCATAAGAAAAAATGCTCTAAATCACTATTAATTAGAGAGATGCAAATTAAATCAACTTTGAGGTACCACTTCACACCTATCAGATTGGCTAATATGACAGAAAAGGAAAATGATAAATGTTGGAGAGGGTGTGGGAACATTGAGACACTAGTGGTAGAGCTGTGAACTGATCCAACCATTCTGGGGAGCAATTTGGAACTATGCCCAAAGGGCAATCAAACTGTGCATACCCTTTGATTCAGCAATATCACTACTAGGTTTGTATCCCAAAGAGACGATAAAAAAGGGAAAAGGGCCTACATGTACAACAATATTTGTAGCAGCTCTTTTTGTGGTGGCAAAGAATTGGAAGTTGAGGGGATGCCCATCAATTGGGGAATGGCTGAACAAGTTGTGGCATATGAATGTAATGGAATGCTATGGTGCTATAAGAAACGATGAGCAGGTAGATTTCAGAAAAACCTGGGAAGACTTACATGAACTGATGCAAAGTGAAGTGAGCAGAACCAGGAGAACATTGTACACAGGAAGAGCAACGCTGTGTGATGATCAACTATGATTGACTTAGCTCTTCTCAGCAATACAATGATCCAAGATAATTCCAAAAGACTCAGAATGGAAAATGCTATCCACATCAGAGAAAGAACTGATGGAGAACTGAATGCAGATCAAAGCATACTATTTTCACTTTATTTTTCATTGTATTTTTCCTTTTGCAAACTGTAAGTTTTTGCAAACTGTTTCTTCTTTCACAACATGACTAATAAGGAAATATGTTTTACATGATTGCACATATATAACCTATATCAAATTGCTTACCATCTTAGGGAGGGAGAAGGGAAGGGAGAAAATTTGGAAGTCATAATTTTATTAAAAAAAATGACTGTTAAAAAATTTTTTTACACGTAATTAAGAGAAAATAAAATATTATTTAAAAAACCTATTAGACCTAGCTAGAAAAGCCAGAGAAACAGGGATGCTTCAATTAGTACTGAAAAGGGCTTGTGCAAGATACATCTGGTCAGATCTCAGGCCAGCTCACAAAGCATTTTGCTCAGTCTTGCTACACAGTAGAATGATTGCTGGACTAGGAAGTCAGAAGACTTGAGTTTCAGAACTGGCTCTGACTAGACATATGACCATGTGCACTGGAGCAGGGAATTCCCTATGCCAATTAAACAAAAACCTCCATCATATGTCCCCTCAGGTAACTGCAAAGACAAGGGTCCCTACAGAAAACTTTTCTAAGTGCTCAACATCTTTATAGAGATGCTTCTTGGGCTAATTGTGAATACTCACACTAAGGAAGGAGCTGGCTGTCATGAGGCTCCTAGAGCTGGTTCTGTTGGTGCCCAGAACAAGGAAGGCCCATAATGATCGTTTAAGTCTGCAAATATGCTGTATTAGTGTTACTTTGTTGTACTGTGATTCTACTGGTGTGCTGGATCCCTTCCCTCCACCAATGCAGAATGTAACCTCTATGAATAACTACAGGCAAAATAAAATTCACTGCTTCACAGCCAACCTTTTGGTGACAAGTCCCTCTGAATTTAGCCAAGCTAGTCATTGACTGCCTCTCCTGGATCATTGCCTTGTCATGGCAGGGGGGCTTGCACAGCTGGAGAATGAAGTCAAATGGGCCTCAGGAAGCATTGCTAACACTGAGGCTAGTGGAGATAATGGAATTCCAGCTGAGCGATTTAAAATCCTAAAAGATGATGCTGTTAACGTAATGCACTCAATATGCTAGCAAATTTGGAAAACTCAACAGTGACCATTGGATTGGAAAAGATCAGTTTACACTGCAATCCTAAAGAAGGACAATGCCAAAGAATGTTCCAAGTACTGAACAATTTCACTCATCTCACATGCCAGCAAGGTTACACTTGAGATTCTGCAAGCTAGGCTTCAGTAAAATGTGAACCGAGAATTACCAGAAGAGCAGGCTGTTTTTGAAGAGGCAGAGGAAGTAGAGACCAAAGTGCCAACATTCGCTGGATTATGGAGAAAGCAAGGGAGTTCCAGAAAAACACCTACTTCTGCTGCACTGACTACATTAAAGCCCCTGATTGTATGGATCACAACAAAATGTGGCAAGTTCTCAAAGAAATGGGAGTACCAGATCGTCTTACCTGCCTTCAGAGGAACCTGTATGCAGGCTAAGAAGCAACAGTTAGAAATGAACATGGAATAACTGATTGGAGTTAAGGTTGCTGAGAGAAATAACAATCTCAGATATGCAGATGATACCACTGATGGCAAAAAGTGAGAAGACTGGCAAAAAGACTGAGAAGCCTCTTGAGGAAGGTGAAAGAGGAGAGAGTAAAAGCTGGCTTAAAGCTTAACACCAAAAAAACTAGTATTTTGACAACTAGTCCCATCACTTCCTGGCAAATAGAGGGAGAAGAAATGGAAGCAGTGTCAGATTTTATATTCTTGGTTTCAAAGATCACTGGCAGACAGTGACTGCAGCCATGAAATTAAAAGATGCTTGTTCCTTGGAAGGAAAGCTATGGCAAATATGAACAGCATACTAAAAAGCACAGATATCACCTTGTCAACAAAGGTCTGTGGAGTCAAAGCTAGGTTTTTCTAGTAACAATGTATTGCTGTGAGGGTGGGACTATACAGAATTGATGCTTTTCAACTGTGGTGCTGAAGAAGACTTTTGAGAGTCCCTTTGGACAGCAAGGAGATCAAATCAATCAATACTTAAAAAAATTAATTCAGGCTATTCACTAGGTCAAATACTGAAGCTGAAGCTTCAATACTTTGGCCACATAATGAGAAGACAAGAATCACTGGAAAAGACCCTGATGTTGGGAAAGATTGAAGGCAAAAGGAAAAGGGAACGGCAGAGGGGTGAGGTGGATAGTGTCCTGGATGCAACGAACATGAGCCTGGACAGACTTTGGGAGATAACGGAGGACAGAAGGGCCTGTCCATGACGTCACGAAGAGTCGGACACAACTGAACAACAATGAGTCCTTGAGTGACAGACACAAAGAATCCATCACTAGGCCAACATTCAAAGCCTTTCTAGCTTGGTGCAGCCTTTGAGAATCCAGAGGGCACTTTCATATGACAGTGAGGTATCAGAGGGAGACTTTAGTGGAGGTTCAATACTATGTAATTTTGGCTAGTAATAAATTATAATACAGTTAGTATTTTACTTCTACTCAGTTAATGCTTTCTTTCTAATGAAGTTTCTTCTCAGTGCTCTGAAAAGTATAAAAGAGGGATTTTATTATATTTTAGGGATTGCTACAAGTGGAACCTGAAAAGCTGAAGGCAAGCCCTCAATACAGTTACATCTTGGAGTTAGGAGACAGAGGGCTACTGAGTACAAAACAAGATGGATCCCAAAACTTAGGACAAGATATCTTAGAGGCCAGGATACCTAGGTCAAGAGAAGGTGGATGAAGTGAAAAGAACTTTTCTAGAAGTAGTGCTTCCTGTGGGAGGAGTTAAAGCCAGCTTACTCATGAGATTCAGATATCCCCTAGGTGTCAAGAGGAAGTAGACAGCTTCAAAATAAAGTTAACTGTAATCTTGAAAAAACTGTAATGTGACACAAGAGTTCCGTTGAAAAAAAGACGGTAGTAGTGTAACAGCAAGTTATATTACAAGCACAAAGAGAGAGAAGGGAGACGAGTCTAGTGGAGTCTAAAAAGGAAAAGCTGGAAAATACCAATGTCAGTGGGAGAGTCAGGATGACCAAGCACCAATATTTTGGTTTGTGTGGCAACAGAACCTTCTTAAGATAGAGAAAGGTGATTTGGCTACCATACCTTTAAGGTCATTCAGCAATCTTTGCTCTAATTCTACCTTCACCAAATAACTTTCTAATATAATGTTAGGCAAGTGCGTCAACACTGGGAAGGGGGTGCCTAGCTCAGATGAACAAATGACAAAGCAGTCTTGTGTCAGTTGAGTTGCCATATGCCCCTTTCCCCAGGTTATGATTTCCCTGGATAAAAAGACTGCTCAGATTCCACTGAAAGACCAGAGGTTGGACATGTGGTGATAACAGCAAAGCAGAACATCCACGAGGCCCAGCCTGACCAGGCAAGGTTTTCCTATCAATTTGTACTCATTTTAATAACATTCCATGCATACACTTTCACAACTACGTGCATGAGACTGAGACAATAACCACTGCTACTACGGACGCCACTCCCTAGTTCAGCGCAGGACAGCCAAAAGACCTTTCATTGTTTTAAATATCAGTATACTCTCTGTGAAAATACTGGTGTGGGCAGAAAATGTATTCTATACTTATGGAGTTCCTTCTCACTCATTCTCAAGTGACTTTCAAATGACTTACTGAGAGTTTCAATCATTACTGCCTAAAATTTTTTAAAGAGGGAATAAGGTTTTTAACATTTGCACCTGTAATCAAAATTAAAATTGGCCATATCTGTAAAGCAGAAGAGATTGTTTGAATCTTACCTTTCCTCTCCTTTCTGACATCTTTCCCATTCTTCTCGATCTCTTAGTTCTTGAGTAAGCTCTCGTTTCTCTGTCAAAATTTTAGCAGCTTCTTCACCACTTGTGGTCCCTGCTCCAGTTTGACTACTGGGCTCTATTTTGAATAAAAGTTTAAATGATTCAATTGGATTAGCAGGAAGTACAACCCCAAATTAAGAGACTATATACAAATGGAAGCATTAAAGACTCAAAAATACGTGCAAGAGAGTAGGAATCATGATTCGTTGTACCTGTTCTTGAACCAAAATAAAACAAAACAATCCAAATCCCAGTGTCAGTTTTTAACAACTTGTTCCAAAGTGTAATTCATCTCTAATAAAAATAGCTGCTTTGAGATAACTGTATAGGAGTAAGCTCAAGGTGAAAAGGAAAAAAAAAAACTTTAACAGGGAAGAACAATATGCTAGAGCAGAGAAGGATTGGATTTAGAATCAGAGAACCTGGATTTGAATCTTGGCTCTGCTACTTACTACCTGTGTGACAATGGGCTAGCTATTTCTCTTCTTTGACCTTCAGTTTCCTCATCTGCAAAATGAGAGAGTTGGCCTCTAAATCCCTGCCAGCTCTAAATGTAAGAGATGGACAATGGCTAGAGTATAGTCAGCATGGTTTGGAAATGGCCAGAACCCCAACAAACCAACTGGACTATAGGCTGCATTACGAGAGGCCTAATGTCTGGAAGAAGAAAGGTCATGGTCCCAGTCAGACCACATGGGGAATATTACAGTTAGACATTTGAAGAAGAACATTGACAAGCTGGGATGATAACCTAGATAGTGACAGGGCTAAACACCATACCCTAAGAGGATTGGTTGAAGGAACTAAAGAAGGTTTTAGCTTCTTAGCTAGAAAAGAGAAGACTTAGAGGGAACATGATCACTGTCTGTACATATTTCAAGGGCTGTCAGGTAAAACAAGGATGATGCTTACTTTGCCTGATTTCAGAGGAAAGAACTTGGCTCAGTGAGTAGACACTGCAAAGAGGCAGATTTTGGCTCAAACTTCCTAAAAATGAAAAACTGCCCAAACTGCCCCAAAGTGGAACTGGCTGCCCCATCAACAAAGTTGTTCAAGTAGAAGCTACATGATCACTGGCAGGCACGCATGGAGAGGATTTTTACTCAGGTTGGGGCCAAATGGTTTCAGGTCCCTTCCAACTATGAAATTTTGGGATTCTGAACATAAAGTAATAAACACTCCTAAGACAGCGATCCTCTCAAGTCCAGCAGGCTTTATTAATCTTTTTGGTTCCTAGGTCAAAATTTTCTTCTCAGAGCAACAGAACTAATCAAACTCCAGGGAATTCTACACAGTAGGTACCAATCACACTCCAGCTTGTTACTGTTAAGTCATGACTGCCTCAAGATCCCAGAAGATGGCCAAAGTCAGCCACAGCACAAATTAATCAGCCACCTCCATACTGTGTGCTGCAGCTCCCTGAGGTTATTTCCCAGAATTGGTAACATTTGTTTTTCCAAGAAATACCAGGCCCAAAGTTAAAAACAACAGAAGGGTTACACAGCAGTACTGCATCCACTGACTTAGGTGATAAATCATAAAACTTTGTACTCTGTTCTACGTCTGATACTTTCCAAAAAGTCCAAAATAATCAAACAGGTACTTCTACTGACTGCTCCTAATTCTGTCTTCTGGAGACAGACAGAGCAAGCCTAATTTGCATTCTACTTGACAGACCTTCAAACGTGCAAAGAAAATGGTAACACTGGATCCACCATACCCATGGTGTCCTACAGAGCAAGTAATAAATGCCTTCTAATGATGATGATGTTGATGATGATAGAAGCCTAGAATAGGAGTCAGGAGACCTGTGTTCAAATTCCAGGGGAAACATTTACAAGCTGTGTGACCATGGGCAATTCACTTAACTTCTCAAAAGCCTCAGTTTCCTTATCAGCAAAAATGGGAGTAATTAAAGCCTGTATTACTTAGTTTACGGGGCTATTGTTAGGAGAGTGTTTTGCAAACTTTCAAGTACTATAAAAATGAGTTATTTTTCCTGAGTAAATAGGACCCAAAGAGAAACAGGTTGGTATTACTGAGTTTGGCTTAATATTCCAAAGCCTCCCAAAGCTTATGAAGTGATAATATTTAGCTAAGCTAGATGCTTGAAATGACCAGCTTCAGTTGTGGAGTACAGATGATGAGCCATACCCTCAATTTCTCAGTAAAGAGGTGGAGGTCTATAGGAACAGAATTGTGTATATGCTGACAGACAGTATCATTTTCTTGGCCAATTTTAACCTGTTTTCTTTGTTATAAGGGCAGGGTTTAATTAAGGAGTTAAGGAGTATATAAAGAAATCACTGGCATAAGTTAGTTTATCTATGTATTTAGAGTATTAACATTTTTTCTTCCCTTTCTTCCCTTAGAAGATACATATTTTCTTCAATTAAGTTCAACCAAGATCCTTTTTTTCTTATGACATGTCAGGATTCAGGAATCTACTAACATTATGAGTCATCAGAAAAATGTAAAATGGAAGAAATTCTGATTTAACTGAAAGGAAGAAAATCAAAATCGGCTGTCAGGGTCAATTAAATATAAAATATGACCAAAATGGCAATTTTCTGATGTAGGGCAAAAAAGCAGAAAATGCAAACAGTCAAATTTAACAGAGTTTTAAAGTTGCTGGAAGGCCAATTTCAACAAAAGTTCATATCTTCATCCAAACCAAAAAAGCATTCTACCCGAAAATTGCTCTGTAGGTTTTATAGTTCATTCATTTCAAAATTAAATAGCACACTGCATCTTTAATCACATATTTTTCTCTTTCTGCAGAGCTTTTTTTCCTTTTGCCACAAAGAAAGAGGCAGTGGTTCATGTGGGCAAATGCTTCTATTGCAGCTGCTACTGCCCACAGAGAATTCTGAGTGTTGGCAACTGGCAGCCAGGAGCATAATCATCCCTTTAGTTGAGACTCTGAAGATTTAATCCTAGAATTTACAGTTGAAATCACCTAAGCAAGGACCATCATTTCACAGATAAGGAAACTGAGGCCCAGAGAGAAGTGACTTGCTTAAGGTCAAAATCGCCTAATTATCTAGGCAGTGTCAAGGCTAGAACCCAGGTGTCCTCACTGCTAAGTGAAGCTCTTTACATTACACTCTGCTACTTCCCTAATAGTACCTACAACCCTAAAGACCTAAGTATCTAAGACCTTGTCACATACACCATATAAAATATTACTAAATGGCTAATTGCCACCAGAAGGATACAGTTCTATTTTGTTACAGGGTTTCCTTTGGGGCTATACCTATAAAAAGCAGGTTACCATTGGGAGGTGAGAAAAAGAAAAAGCACAGTAGAAGGTAATCTCTTAGACCCTAAGCATGAGGGCAAGAAAGAAGGTCTATACTTTAATATAATGAAGCAAAGAATCTGTTTTAGGGGGGAAAAGGTTTTCTAATGGTCAGGTTTAACAGGGGAGTTCTATGCATCATGTCTTGGAGAGGCAGTCAAAGGTATGCTCTCACACTTGCCACCCCAATGAAGAAAGATCACGTCCCCTTTCATGAAAAAAGTTAAAAGAGAATCTGGAAGCCACTAGAATTCAATACCTTAAGTTCTCAGATGACAAATCAAAGGGAAAGAAAGATCAGATGTTTGGTCAGGGGCCTGATGCAGAAAAACTTCACCTAGGGTAGAGTTCTTAACCTGGAGTTTGTGAACTTTTTATTATATTGATAACCATATTTCAACATAATTGCTTTCTTTTCATTTAGCCTCTCAGCCTCAGCTTCTTCATCTCTAGAATGGGAATAATTACATCTACCTCAAAGGGTCATTAAGAGGATAAAATGAGATAACTATGTAAAATGCTTTTCAAACCTTAAAGAGTTATATAAAATGTTGTTCTTTGTAATTTGATGTATTTTATTTTACGCACTTAAAAAAATGATTCTGAGAAGGGGTCCATAGGCTTCACCAGCCTGACCAGGGGGTCCAGGACAAAAGAAAAGGTTAAGAATCTCTGCCCTAGAGGATGACCGGGGCCCAAGAAAAATTCCCTTCTCTGGCAGGGGTGAGGGAAGTGTGGCTCCCCTGCCAAAGAAGACAGAGGTTGCTTGGGGATGCTAACTGGAAGGAGGGCAGGAGTGAGAGACAAGAAAAGAAACATTTCCCAAACCCCTTCTTCTCTACCTCCACACCTTCTCAGTTCTACCGTCATCAGGACAGGACAAAGAAGCTTGAGAAAGCAGAGATACATCGATGAAAATATCAATAAGATAAGTGAATAATGGAATAAGATAAAACAATAACAAAATTTCTGTGGAAGAATGGTCAAATATATCAAGAGAAATTATGAAGACAAAAAAGGAAGGTGGCTTGTGTACTACTTCATCTCAAATTATACTCTAAAGAAGCAATTATTAAAACTATGTAAAATACAGGTCAACAAAACTATCTAAACAACCAAAATGATCTAAAATATAGAACAGATCAAATTAACTCTAACCTATATAACCAATGGCACACACACAGATTAGTATTTGACACATCACTGTTTCTGCTCCAAAATCCTCAGTGGCTCTCCAATGCTTGCAGGATAAAAAAAAAAAATAGAGAATTCCTCAGCCCACCATGTCAAGCTGCCCCCAATCTGGCTCTAACCTACTTTTCCAGACTTATTTTTCATTAATTCCCTTCCAACAATCTACAAGGCACACTGACTGGTTGTTCCCCAAACTCAACATTCTCTTCTGACTATCTCCATGCCTACCCTGACCTCCTCCCTCTCCCCTTAACCTCTTAGCTTCTGTCAAGGTTCATGTCTGGTACTACCTCCTAAGGGAAACCTTCCTGATGCCCCTAGGCATGAGAGCATGCTCTCTCACCTCAAATAGCTTTGTATTTACTTAGGTATAAAGGTATTATATCTTTGGTATCATAACTGTGTAGAGGCAAAAAAAATGCCCAGATATTACATAAACAGAAGAAATTCTAGGAGAACAAATAGAGGAGTTTGATTACATAAAAAGAAAGTTTTTGCACATCAAAAAGTAATGCATCTAGAAAATCTTTCTGAGCAATATTTTTAATTGAAGTTTGACATCATCTTTAAGAAGTGGTCAAAGGACATGAACAAGGAGATCTCTAAAGAACAAAACACCAATTATCAACAGACACATGAAAAAGTTCTGACTCTTCAAAATAACCAGAAAAAAAGCAAGTTGAATAATTGTAAGCTATCAACTTCCACCCACCAAGTTGGCAAGGTTAGTTGAAAACAGTAAGATTTAACGTTGGCGTGGCTGTGGGAAAATAGCCCTACTCCAACCCCGCTGGTGAAGCTGCAAAGTGGTGCAATCTTTTTAGAAAGCAAAAAGCAATTACATAGTAAGAAACCTACTACTCACACCCTTTGAACCAGTGATCCGCTATAACTTTGTAAAAGGGAATAGACATATTTTTAAGCAAACTGTACACAACAGAAGTTCACAGTTTCATACTTAACCATTTACTATAATTTAAATTGTTACCACTAATAGAAAACGGTCACGCACTGGTACCCACATATTATGAGGAGATCTCTATGGGGAGGCCTTGGGAACATTAGGTGCACTCCTGTGAAATATTTACAAGAGTATGTGGACACAAGTCACACAGGACAAGCATGCACATTTGAGCTGCAATCTGCACTGTAGAAGAGAGTACCCACATGGATGAGATGGTGGATCCATTCAAACACTGTAATACCTGACATTTATATAGTATGCTTTAAGGAGTACAAAATACTTTACATCTAGTATTATTTTCCATTTATTCCTGGGTTTTTGTTGATAGTATCCATCCATCTATTTTTTGGGGGGTGAGCCAATCAGGGTTAAGTGACTTGCCCAGGGTCACACAGCTAGTTAAGTGTCAAGTGCCTGAGGTCTAATTTGAACTCAGGTCCTCCTGACCCCAGGGCCAGTGTTCTATCCAGTACACCACCAAGATGCCCCTGTATCTATCCATTTTTGTAACGAGAGAAGAGAACTAGAGATTGGACCTCGAGGGGGCTCCACATTAAGGGGTAGACCCGAAATTTTTCCACAAAGGGCTTGGAGTTTAGGTGTGGTAGAATTTCCTACCTTGATTAAAGCAGCATATTACAGTGAGTGGATTGACTGGATTTGGAATCAGGAGACATGAGTTTAAATTCTGCCTAAGGAACTTATGATTGATCATGGGCTGGTCCCTTAAACTCTCAAAGCCTGTTTCCTCATCTGTAAAAAGGGGATAACACCCGCAATATCTAATTCACAGGATTACCGTGAATTAAACACTTTGTAAAACTCAAGGTGGCCAAGCACTGTAGAACGCACCTGTAGTCCCTGCTCCCAGGGACGCTGAGACTGGCAGATCTCTGAGCCAATCACATTGTCTACACTAAATCCGGTTATCACTATGGGGACCCCATGGGGCAAGGGAAGGGCAAACTGACCCAGGTTGGAAATGCAGCAGGTCAAAACTCTCATGCTTATCACTGCGAGAAACAGGCCTATGAGTAGCTCTTGAACTTCCAGCCTGGTCAAAACAGGCTCAAAACAAACAAACCCAAAGCATTATACAAATGCTGTTAGTGTTGTTGTTATTATTAATAATAATAAATCACAGCCAAGTCCATTTACAATACTAATGATAAACCATAATCTATGAGAGCTATAAGGGCAAATTCTTTTTAAAACTCAAGCTGGCATAAAGAAAATGCCATGCTAGGTACCATTCTTCTACTGAGTCCCTGGAACTCAGTTAACTATGTCCAAAACAAGCTTTTTAACTGATTCCTTACACAAGAAACTTTTAATATGATCATATACCTTCTTTGGTCTTTCCAGCAGATGCTACTTTTTCTTTCTCTGAAGCTGGTGATGTTTGGCCTTCATGTTTTCTCTTTTCTTCACATATATCCTTTAGTTTGCTATCTGTTGCAGGTATTCCACCCTTTTTGGTAATATTTGAAACAGTTGGTGTGATCAAGGGACGTTGCACAAGTTTAAGAGCTGGTTTTAACACACAAGTGGGAGATGATGGTTGCTGTTTTGACGAAATAGGTGAAGGTGGGCGACTTCTCTGAGATGGTCTGCTGAGGAAAAAGAAATAGTATGGTTTTTAAAAAAGAAATGTATGCTAATGTACGTGAAAGCACTTCAAAAAGCATAAAGCACTATGCAAATATGAGGTGGCATTATCATTACTATATTATTCTGAATATAGGCCACAAATTTTTCCCAAACGTGGCTTGAGTATAACCCGAACATTATATATAATTGGTATTATTTTTTAGTGCATACGTCTATATATTTCCTTTCAAAAAGATATTTTAGGAAGGGCAACCTATATTCAGATTAAGAGAGTAAAATCTGTGAGTTTTCATAGCCTAATTAAAAAACAAACAAAAAACATTTGACTCAATGGCTTTTAAGGTCCCTTCTAATTCTTGAGATCCTGAAATATCACCTTTTAAAATGGATTGAATTTAAGCTACTGTATATTCTGTTTTACACAAATTCTAAAACAGGGAGATTAACGTATTCGGGCAAAATATGTGGCATGGAACAATTTCATATTAGCTACTTACTTCGATGCAGAGGGAGATGGAGGATGCTTAACATCAGCAGGGGAAGGTGATCTCTTATGGCCTGATACAGATGGTGATGGAGCTCGTCTTGCAGCATGAGTAGATGCATACTTATCTACCTCTGCCTTCTGAGTGGATAAACAAAATAAGGAATCCCTAAAATTTATGGCTATGCTTTGATATTAAAAATAATTCTACCTAAGAACAGCTTAAATTGCTAGAGGAATATTTAGCGCCTGTGGCTGGGCCACACCAATATAATAAAAAAATGACAATACTACCAAAGTCAATTTACATTTTTGATGCTGTACTAATCAAATTACAAAGGGGATACTTCAAACACCTGATAAAATTATAACAAAATTAATTTGGAAAAACAAAAGATCTAGAATATAAAAGAGAAATGATGAAAAGAGGCTAAGGACAAAGACAGAATAGTACTTCCAGACCTCAAACTACATTATAAAGCAGCAGTCATCAAAGCCATCTGGTATTGGTTAAGAAAGAGAGGTAGACTGATGGGACAGATTAGACAAGAGAGAATCAGAAACAATGGAACTCAATAACCCAGTACTCGATAAACCAGAATACATACAACACTTAGGAGAGAACTCCCTATTTGATAAAAACTGCTGGGAAAACTGGAAAACAGTTTGGCAGAACTTCAACTTAGACCAATACCTTACACTACTTTCCATAATACGTTCTACATGGATATACCACCTTAATATTAAAGATCATAATATTAAAAAATCAGAAGAGAAACTGATCATATACCTCTCACAGGTATAGGCAAGTGATCTATTCTTAACCAAACAAGGGAAAAAGACAATTGCAAAAGATAAAAATGGGAACTGATCCCATGAAACTGCAAAGCTTCTGCAAGACAATATTAATGCACCTAGGATAAGAAGAGAAGTGGTCAAATAAGAAAATAATCTTTGTCTCAGACTTCTCTGATGAGGATTGGTCTCCAAAATCCATAAAAAATTAACAAATATACATAAGACGAACAGCCATACTCCAATAGATAAAGTAGTCAAAGGATATCAACAAACATTTCTCAAAAGAAGAATTGCAAAGCATTCACAACCACCTGAAAAAAGGCTCCAAATCAATTGTAATAAGATAAATACATTATCAAAACAGCCCTGAGGTTTTACCTCATATCTTGCAAATTGGCAAAGATGACAAAAATGGCAATATCCAATGTTGGAGAGATTGTGAAATGATAAGCACATTAATGCATTGTTGGTGGAGCAGTGAATTGGTACAGCCATTCTGGAAAGCAATTTGGTTGCAATCATGTGAACAACATGACTAAAATGTCCACACCCAGATACTCCATTACTGAGTTCATAACCCAAGGAAGCCAATGATAGGAGGCAAGTCCCCATATACACCAAAATATTTGTAGCAGGACTTTTTGTGGCAGCAAAGAATTGACAACAAAATAGATAAATCCTCCCCCATCAATGAGGGAATGGACAAACAAATGAAATAAAGTATTAGTGCACTGTAAGAAATGATAAATGTAATATATACAGAGAAGCATGGCAAGATCTATATGAACTGATATAGAGTGAAGTAAGAGCAAGAAACAATACACATAACGACTACAACAACGTAAACAGAAAGAACCATACACATGCACAACACCCTGCCCCCCAAGGGAATGTAGCAAAATTATGAAAATCAAGCATGACATCAATGAAGAGATATGATGAGAGGACACCCCCAACCCACCCCTTTGTGGGTTTTTGGATTTCTTTTTCTTTTTTTTTTTTTAGGGCAATTGGGGTTAAGTGACTTGCCCAGGGTCATACAGTTAGTAAGTGTCAGGTGTTTGGTCAGAGGCTAGATTTGAACTCAGGTCCTCCTGACTGTCAGGGCCAGTGCTCTATCTACTGCGCCACCTAGCTGCCCCTTTTTGGACTTCTTAATGCATTGATTAGGCATGACGATTTTTTTTCCCACCTCTTTTTCTTTTTACTGTTTTTAAAAAATACTATTTGTAATATGTGGTAGCTTTCTAGAAAAGGGAGGAACACTGGGGATAATCATGATGACGGAAAAAAAACACCAATAAAAACTCATTCTATCTGCATGAAAAGACTATACTTAGAGTTTCTTAAATGCCAAACCATCACGATTCTTCACCAATATATGAGCATCTAGTACCAAGGCATGATAAAGCTGAAAGAATTTTTTATCAGTTTTAAAGGACTCTTTTACTTCCAACAGGCACTTATCTTTCTTGCACTGCTTAGTACCTTTAATCAGTCTATGTGGTTTTACATTCTCCTTATTTGCTGGCAATATACTGGCAAAAATGTACCTCATCTTTTAAAAGTTGTATTTATAACTATGACTAGCTTGAAGAGTGGCTCAGTGCAGTAATGGTCCAATCCAATAATTCAGTAATAATTTATGAAGTTGGATAAAAAATTTTCACTTAAAATCAAGCCCCCTGGGGCAGGCAGGTGGTGCAATGGATAGAGCACTGGCGCTGGAGTCAGGAGGACCTGAGTTCAAATCTGGCCTCAGACACATAATATTTCCTAGGCTGTGTGACTGTGGGCAAGTCACTTAACCCCAATTGCCTCACCAAAAATAAATAAATAAATGAAGTCAAGCCTCCGATACTATTTTTTTTCAAGTTTTCAAGTCATCCTAAAAGAATAAAGCTAAAAAATAAACAAAAATAATATCCTCAAAATACCAAAATGAATTTTTAAATATGCTTAAACATCTGCATTTATTCATCAGGTATCTGGAACCAATAATTTTCCTTCAAATCCTTTTCCTTTCCAGATACAATACAAATAACCTGTTGTCCTAAACCTTGATAATATAACATATAAGCCCTGAATCTTGGTAAAGCCAAAAAATGTTGCAAATGGGTTTAGATAAGTCTTCACAAACTTCAGCTATTTGTATAACTGACGCCAAAGGCCTTAAAAATGTGGCCACAGGTAAGCACTGCTTGGCCACCAATAGGCCCAATTTGGCCATTAGCCAGTGCAGCAAACTCCAAGAGAGATTCACATACCAGGCTCTCTGTCACTAAAGTGAAAAGCCAGAAGAGTTGAGCTGGAAAATGAGATGATTAGAGTGGGATGTCCAGAAAAGGATCACAGTACATTGGAAAGGTCACAGGGGAAAAGTGTGTGTGTGTGTGTATGTGTGTGTGTGTGTGTGTGTGTGTGTGTGTGTGTTGTGTGTGTCTCACAGGCAGAGAGGCATGGAAGAAAAAGTCATATACACAAGCCCTAAAAGGCAATAGTAGGCATCCAGCTTTTAAATAAAAGGACTATCACCATTGATAACTTAATTGAGTATGTAAAACACACTTTCGCGTTTCCATGAAGGTAGCCTCTCTGAAAATGAGTATTCTGCCAACTCTCAACTCTTCATGGGTGAGTCAGTATACAATTTAGAGATTTTCCCAACTCTTTAGTTTCTGTCATCATCATTATGATTTCTTTTGATCACTTCACTACTCACTTATTGCCTACTCTCTTCTCCACAATTAGTAGGGGAAATTGGTTAAAGTACAAAATGGCCAGCATTTGAATTTTTTGGCAACTCTTTTTAAAAATGGTTGAGGAATAGGGAAAAGTTTAAACCAATGGCTAAAACTATTTGAATTAGCCATATTCTGTTGCAAAATACCACTGATAACTAAGAATTTACTTTTTGGAAATCATATTATACTTTAATATATATAACGAAACCATCCCAATCAAAATTTATGCAAATATATATTTCAGGAGACCCAAAAAAAAAACCCATCTTCAATATAAGGAAATTTGTAACAAACCTGTATAGAGCCCATAGCACTTGTTGAAACGGCTACCATGGGAGACTTCGGTCTGTCAATGCTGCGGCTTCGCATGGGCATTCTAGGGGCCTGCACTGCAGAGCTGATAGTACTGGAGGCAGCTGAACGAGGACAGAGGTGAAATTCTACAAAGTTAGGAATTTGACAGGACAAAACAGAGAGCCAAGTGAACAGTTTAAGAACAGGAAAAGAAAAAAGAGAAAAAGATTGTGTCTATTAGAAATCAAAGAGATCGCGCAACAGCATGGGAAGCATATACTGAAAATGTGTCATAAACATGAGACACCACCACCACACAATTAGTATTTCAAAAGCAACACTAAGAATAATGACACCATGAAAGCAAGCCTATTTACTGTAGATAAAAATAAGATGCTTTTCCAAAGTCTATATACAATACTTATTTCTCACTCAATCACACCATACTTCAGAATCAGCTTGTCAATAGAAAAATTACAAATTGTAAGTAACTAAAACATCTGTTTCAGGAAAATTAATCACACCATAGAAATAATTCCACGTTTGGTTTATATCCTAAGCTAAACATTCCAATACTTTACTGTTCTTCCATACTTCAAGGTTCTGTGATCATAGTGATGGCTGCAGTATACAAGCCCTCCACACTTTAGTAATTGATTTAATGAGGTGTTTTGCTCAAAAGTATTCATCATCTGGTGGCCTCTCTACACTTAGTGAACCTGATCCTCAAGTGACAGACGCATACTCTACCTTCAGATTGGTACCTGAAGCCTTTCAAGCCGGGAAGGACCTGTGAAAACCCAGCACTGCATTCACTGGCAGAGCCTCTGAGAACACAAAGTCACTGCCACATCATGTTAAAAAAAACAAACTGATAGACAAGTTTGATTCATTAAATATTCCAAATAGTGTCAAATTACTTCTCCTAGCATACAAATAGTACTGACATTTTAAATTCTCCTTATAAAGACATATTTTAACTGCTTTGAGTTAGCTGATAAGACAACTAGGAGATATTTTCCTAAGAACAAGTAAACTGTATGTCCTCCTATATCTGAATATTGACTAGAACCTCCTTAATAAATAATGAACTGTCACTTTAAAAAAAAAAGCATTACTATGCTTCTCATCCATTACCAAAAATAATTCAACATCAATCCAAGGGAACAAAAGATTAAATGTCAAGTTTAAAATGTCACACGTGGCAAATGAAATAGTGTCCATCTCTAATGAAAACCTAACAAAACCACCAAGACTGCCTCTGCCCTCCAATCGCATCTCTCTGACCGTTACATAAATGATGCACAAGCTTGGTCATCCTCACACTCAAAAACTTTCACTGAATACTGTGTATCTTCTGACTGAAGTTACATCTTTGCCTGGCAGAATCTGGTGCCATCCTATCTACCCTTCAAGCCTCGCAGTACTCCTCACTACACATTCAATGCTCTAGCCAAACTGAACAATTCTCTGTACTCCAGAACATACCCCTGGATTTTTTCCCTCATGTTTTTCTTGCCTACTGAAAGCCAATCTCCAGTAGATGGAAGGGGCTATTTTGTTTTTGCCTGTCTCCTCAGGGATGCAAACCCTAGGCATGGCACCTTGCACAGAGTAGCCAATTAAAAAATGTTTGGCATGTCTTGACAAAAAGGAAACTTCATTTTTGAACATCAAACTTCGGTGGAGAAAGCATTTTACTTGAATCTCTACAAAATTCTACAGAAGTAAAATTACAGTCTTTCAGACCAACACTTCATGCTACAAGAAAGCCAAAGGAAGCCTGTTGGTATTCCTAAGTACAGTGACTAGCTTTCAACCAGTTGTAGAAGCTCAGGTAAATTGTGCAATTGTCTTGGGAATGATGCTAAGTTAAAGCAGAGTCAGAAATATCTAACATTTCAGAGCAAAACAAGATGGTGATTAGATGCAAAAAAAAAAAAGTGACCTAAAAGTCAGGGACACACAATCGGCTCAAAACAAGCTGAAGCATCAGAACAAATGGGCCCAAAGCAAGGCTGAATGAACCCCAAGCACACCAACATTAGCACTAGAATTCTGTGTCCTAACTGGCATCAAAGCAGCAAAAAGCAAAGAGAAAAAGGGCTAGGAGAGAGAAAATGAAAGGGAAGTGTGGTTGTAAAAAAGGAAAGAGAAGAGAATCTAGGAGAGGTAAGAGTGAATCAGAACAAAAGAACATTTTTCACCAGGTACCTTGAGTGGGTTTTATGCTATACACAGCTGTTTCTGGAACTCTAGAGGACACATATCCTAGAACTGAGATACTCCCAGCAGAATTTCAAGTAGTTCACTTTTCCTAGTCTTCCTCCCCTAATTAAAATGGTAAAGGGCAGTTCACTGTGGTTTTTTTTTTTAAGGAAAAATGAAAACTCCCTCCATTAGACTGTGAGCTCCTCAAGAGCAAGGACTGTCTTTCGCCCTTCTTGGTAACTCCAGTGCTTAGCACAGTGCCTGGGCACCTAGTAGGTGCTTCAAATCACTGCTTCCTGACTGAAGTAATGCATTACATTTCCTCTACAGCTGGCGCTATGGTACTTTCTAAATTCCTCTAGATTTATTCACACATAGGCCAACAGACTAGTTTGCTAGTTTAGGGGATCAGGGGCCTCATCTATCTACTGTTATAATGCTACAGTGGGAGCCATAAAATAAATCTGTAACTGAATGTTGTATGTAAAATACACAGTGCTATGATATAGCGATTGATTCAAATAGCGATGTGGCTAAGTTGGATATTAAATCTCACTTTGTAAGTGCAAACGCTAAAGCTTGCAGGCTTATTCCAAATGCCTGTTACCTGAGGGATCTTTTCCAGCAGCAGATAATACAGCAGCACTTTTGCTTTTAGCTAAAGAGGCTTGTGTAGGGGTGAGAAGGCGATTGATT